CAGTGGCCCTCACACCAGCAGTGAGGGTGGGTTCCAGTGTCTGACAATGGGGGGTGGGCATGCGAAGCTGATGATGGAGAGAAAATGGAGGGTGCAGGGTTGGTTGCTCCCCCCACATCTGTCAACACAGCCCCTGCTGTGTGCCAGCTCTTGACTGTCATCCCATTTCTGGCTGGCATTGGCTGCATGCTGTAAACTGTGGTGTCTGGTGTATGCAGTCAGTCACCAGACAGCAAGCCACTTATGTGTCATCTCTTTTGCAGTATGTCCTTCCAGAGGCCTTAGTTTAATGCCACTAGTCCAGTCTGAAGACTAGACCAGTGGATGGTTGTCTGGTGATTCAACAATTCAAACTGATTTGAAGAAGTTGAACAGAAGGTCTGATTCTTCACTGCCTTGAAAATTTCCTTGAATCATTTGCCAGTGTGCATTCTAATTTGGAAGTCTTTTACATCTACTCTGCTCAAAGCCATGCAAAGTCTGGCTCATGTTAATGAACATTCCAACTCTGACCACTTCAAAAACAAGATTTAAAATTAGGGCCAGATCATCAGTTTGAGTAGCTGAGTGGATCTATAGTGAGACTACACTTAAAAATTTAAAGCGCTGATGTGGCAAGAGTGCTGGAAGAAAGGTCTCCATGAGGGGAGTAGCTGGCTGTGCTGGGCACTGTGCTTCCAGCACTGTAGCACCGTTTACACTGGTGCTTCACAGTGCTGTATCTTGCTACACTCATGGGGGTGGTATTCCACCCTTGAGCCAGAAAGTTGCACTCAGTGACCAGGACTTGGCCTTATTTTCACTAGCTGAGGCTCTCATTCTTGACTCAAAAAGGGCCAAATCAAATCATTGGCATCTAAACACAGACATTGGCTTCTATAAAATATTTTATGAGACATAAAATGAATTTGTTAAATTAAAAGTAAATACAACTTAGAAATAACTTTAATTTACGGCACTGACATTTTAAATTCAGAAAACTGATAAGAAAATTGAAATTGGAAGTATCAGAAAGTGACATCACAAATATAAGCAAGTGAAATATTAACTATAAGGAATGCTATATTTTAAGAGACGGGAAACATATCTGATTAACTTTATGGGTATGTTGACTCTGTGAACCTTAAAGTCTCTCTGATGGGTATGAATGTATATAGGTTGACTTAAATTTTAGGTGTAAACCAGGCGTGAAAACTGGCTTTATTTCAAATTCTTGCTCTGCCAAATATTTATCGATACCAACTCTTTATGAACATGCTAATCAAACCAGAAGAGTAGTGACTTAAATAATAAGTGTACAAATCCTTTATAATAAAACCTTAAGAAAGCAATCTGTGAGAGTTATAACACAGTTTAAAACCAATATTTTTAAGAAAGAAAGTATCTACTTTAACATACAATCTGTGCATGGAGCAACTGTATCTATTTTTTTCTGGTTGCCATAAGAATTTATTCCATTCATATATTTTTAGGATCACTATGTGCTGACAGTGCCCAACCTGAGGCCCTCAACGCTTTACCGATTAGAAGTGCAAGTGCTGACTACAGGCGGAGAGGGACCAGCTACAATAAAATCTTTTCGAACACCTGACCTGCTGCCACCTGCACCCCACAGTAAGTGTTGCGATTTGACATAAAAGTATTTGGGCTAGTGTACATGCAGAGAAAGGCATTCACAATATTATCTACTGCAATAATTCAAACAAAGTCTCAAGGTTCTATTCTTGTAATCTTCTATACAGCAAACAATATTAAACTGTTCTGTTTTTAGCGATATTATGGATTCTGGGGATATTGCTTGTAATGAAAATGGAGAATCCTGGTGTGACATTTATTGACTTTGAATCTAGAATGAACTTTTTAATTCCAGTCACTGTACATTTACTATACAGTTTTGGTTCTATTTTCCCCATATTTGTGTGAGCATCAAAGTCACTTTGAAACAAAAGAAGGTTCATGTCATCCCACTGTACATGTCTTATAGGACTTTGGAAGCACCAGGAAATTCCCTTCAGTTTCCAAGTCAATGGACAGTGGGAGATGGGGGCCATTCAAGGAAGAATTTACATTGCTCTATGAAACAATGAATTTCTCTGAGGATTTCCCAGGATGCCCACCTGCACATCCTACATGACCTTATTTCTGCTATGATTCTTGTGTATGTGTCCCACTACAATGCAGTGATACAGACATGCTATTAAGGACTCTCCTTCTTATTAGTGTATTCAAAATCCCACAAAATGGTCATCTACAAAACAGGAAAATTATTGGCTCTTTAGACAATGTTAATGTTGTGGGGTTATTTCACATTAGGTTTATAGAGGTCTGATGGGTAGATACTGTATAATCCCACCAACTCCCTGCTTGACCATCTCCTCACCTTTCTGTGGATCTGGAACTCCATGGAGCTCCCATGGAAGGACTTTTAGGGAGAAGGATGAGTGATGTTACACATAGAAACTTCCATTCCATGTCCCCTCTACCAGAATTCCACTGTTTTTTTCTCCACTATCAAGAGAGGGGCTAATGTGGCTCTATCCATATGTAATCAAATAAATACAAAACATAGTATCTAGAGGTATAAGATTCTGAATACTAGTAGCTATCCCCTGAGTCATGGAGTTCCATTAGTTCCACCATCCACAGGGGGGGCTAATGTGGCTCTACCATTCTGAATACTAGTAGCTATCCCCTGAATCATGGAGTTCCATTAGTTCCACCATTCACAGAGGGGCTAATGTGGCTCTACGCATAAGTAATCAAATAAATAAAAAATATAGTATCTAGAACAACAAGGACAAACATCAAAAGATTGCAAACTTTTATTAATAAATGTTTGCGTAAGATCATTGGCCTGAAGTGGTCTCACAAGGTTACAAACATTAGCTTATGGGAAAAAGCAGTGCAATGCCCAGTAGAGCAAGAGATATTGAGAAGAAGATGGCAATGGATTGGCCATATACTGAGGAAGCCACCAACTAGCATTACCAGACAATCTCTATCCTGGAACCCACAGGGAAAAAGGGGAAGAGGAAGGTCAAAGAATAGTTGTACAAGAGACCTGGATATGAATGTGAGGAAAATGGGCAAAAGCTGGAGAGAATTAGAAAAGGTGGCACAAGACAGAGAGGCTTGGAATGAAATTGTTGATGGCCTATGCTTTGCTAAGGACAAAGAAGATAGTATCTAGAAGTAAAAGATTCTGAATACTAGTAGCTATCCCCTGAGTCATGGAGTTCCATTAGTTCCCAAAACCCATAGTAATAAGTTTAGAGCTTCATAGCATAGCAAACCTAAGGGACATAATTAGCTCTTCTCAATGTTTCCCATCAAAGCCTTGAGTTATAGAATATTTGTTATTGATTACATTTGAAGTATACATATGAACTGTGGTTATTTCCTTCTCCCCTGTGAAGAATGTGCCCGCAAACCATCGCATATTGTTTCACAACATAAACAATATTAATCAATATAAATTGATTGCACAACATAAACAAAAAATTATGACAAGTTTCAGAGGGGTAATCATGTTAGTTTGTTTCAGTAAAAACTATGAGGAATCCTATGACAACAGGCCACTTAATGCATCTGACAAAGTGGGCTCCAGCTGACAAAAGTCTTTAAGCTGCACAGGACTCCTCATTTAAAAAACAAATGTTATTTTTTGCAGCACTTCTGTGCAGTTAGATTTTAAGGAGCTGATTGTAACAAAATGCTATTTCCTAAGCATTTGAAATATTTTTATGGGAGCCCAGGAAATGTCTGGCAAATTAGTCCTGATTCAACAACGAAGTAAGAAAAAACCTCACCTGCTTGGATGCTTCCATCATTGCAGAGTGCCACTGAAGACATCTGAACAGTATGAGAGCCTATGTCACCAGTGGCAAAATTCTTTGCAGATTCAAGGCCTTGTATGCAAGTATTCAACTGAAAAACTGTGTTGTCCAATGGCTACAATGGCAGCCTGGCTTGGCAGAGGCCCAGCTTCAAGCTTTCTTTGTCACATACTCTGTGCAAGCCTCTTAGCATCTCCCTGCCTCACTTCTCAGCTTCTGAAAAAAGTGATAACAGCACCACTGTACCATATAGGATTGTTGTAAGGTTTAAATACAGGTCCAACTTTTTTAGTTTGGGACCGTTGGGACCTGACTGATGTCAAACCAGAGAATTTGCCAAACCATGGGGAGGTCAATATTGTCTTCCACTGCTTACTGGGCTCTTAGAAAATATTTAGGGGTAAATTAGCACCAAGCAGCTCAGAACACTGAGAGCCAGGACTGGTGGCTATAAAGAAACTTTATGGGACCAAGGGAAACTTGGCCACACCCATGATAAGCGGACATCCTGCTAACTAAAATCATGTTGAACCATGGATGTTGCCAGACGAGAGAGGTTCAAACTGTATCTTGAAGATTGCAAGATGTTCAGTATAATAACGGGGGCCTAATGATTGTATTGCACATATGGCAAAAGATTAAAAGTGATGAATACTCTTTCTTCTTTACTTAGGACCTCATCTGAAACAGCACCATTCACATCACTACAAGCCACCCCCAGAAAAATACTAGACTGCTTCCTAGAGTCAACCAAGTAACAGAAAAAAAAACTGAGCTCCCACAAGAAGACTAGAAAAACGCACTTCTGTAGGAGCAATTAATCAATTTTTTCCAGTGGAAGTTACAATCCTGTATGATTTGTAGCTATTTCTACATAGTTTAGGCATGAAGAATATCATTTATACCAATGCTGGGATGAAATGTACAGCCATTATCATGACAGTATCCCCCCTAATCTGCTAACTGAAGATTTCATCCAATTCAATACATCTGAGAAAAATGTATGTTTGTTGTAATAACATCTTGTTTCCTAGAGTTAAAATAGAAAGGTGCAGTGAATAACAAAGGGTTTTGTTTTGTTAATCTTTATAACAATATTTGAAATATTTTTTTTTATGTATACATAGTTTTGAAAGCCAGATGCCAGATCTTCAGCTGAGGTAAATTAGCATCTCTTGCTTGAACTCGGTGGAACTATGCCAGTTTACACCAGCTAACCCCATACAGTAATATAGTTTGCCAGAAAGGAGATCTCTAGCTAAAGTTAGTATGCAACCAAATAAGCAGCAACAATAGACACATCTAATTCAGTCTACAATAGAAAATACTATTACATGAACAATAAAAAAGGATATTGTAGTGCGTGATGTATTTCCTTAGGGAATATTTTGTATGGAAATGGTACCATGAAGCTCTCTTCTTACAAAATGTGTTGACGGGGGACATTTTCAAAGGCACAAATGGCAGTTAGGTGCCTATCTTTTGTTGAAGTTCTATAGCAGCTGGATACATGCCTTTGAAAATCTCCTAATTTGCTGTTTGCTATTTTGAAGGAAGCCATATATATTATGACTGTAAGAGAACTAAATAGGAAATGTTCTCATTTTGCACATGGAAATTCCAAGGCACATGTTATGTGATTAGGTTTAGTGCTATTTTGGAGCTTCTTTGGCATTTTAGCATGCATGTCTATGTTCCCCAAGGATCTTTTAGAACAGCAGAATAAATGTACTAGCTACATGCATGGTGCTCCAAAGTATGTGACAATACACGGTTATCTGGGAGTCATTGGCTTATAATTTATTTGAATTCATTTTTCAAATTCAGGCATAAAGTGTCCCTTGTTTTTTCATGGGAGCACAGATGACCTTATTGAGCAATGTAAACAGGCCACACAGAGAGACAGCCTTTAATAGAAAGCAGAAAAGGCATGGATTTATAATAAAAAATGATGGAGAGGTTCTCTATACACACTCTATCCATACAAATATTCCTGTTGATGCAACCTCTTGTCCAAAAAATTGCTGCCTGTGCATTCTCAAGTTGCAGAAGGAGGATGCTACATCTCAAGATTTCTGTAACTTAAAGTTGACAAATAAACCAACAGTCACTTTATGGAATCTCCCAACAGCAAGTGCCACAAAAACAAACCAACCCACCCAAATCTGACTACAGATATTCTGTACACTACTTCGTCCTGAGATACCCAGAAGGAGAAAAATACTCAGTGTCACAACAACAATAAATATTTTGCAGAAAACCAAATAAATGATAGTAAAAGTCAAGAGCCCCATTGTAATTTCTGAGTAGTTTGTTCATTCAGTTTTTGCAACATTTTAATATTTGTAGAGAAAAGAGAACTAGAGATTATTGCATTAGTTCTGCTATTCTCTTTGTATTTCCTGGTACCTTTTTGAGATATACACTCATGGAGCAAGTAACTTCACAAAGCTGTCTTTAGGACTACAAGTCCCAGGCTTTGGATAATTACTTCATAAGGTAATAAGGGCTGTTTATGCTTTGACACTACAAAAACAAACAACCCTCCCTCACAAAAAACAAACAACCCCTCCCCACCTCCCACATACCACAACTTCTTTTCCCTATTACATAATGCAATTAAGCTTTGAAGGGAACAGTAACTGACCGAAGGTCAATTATTTTCACCCAGCTGAAATCTGAAAATCTGACATGCATCAAAGTACTCAGATCTTGTGAAAGAAATTACTAAATCTTTGCAATTTGGCACCACTCATACATTTAAATTGCATTGGACTTAAATAAGACAAGGAAAGTGCTCTGTGGTTAGATTGTGGAACCTAATTCCCTTAGGTTCCTTTGAAAACATCATCCTAAACCTTTTGGTGAGATTCTATTCTCAGTAACTCTGGAATAAATTAAGAATAAATTGACTGATGTTAATGAAGTTATGATGATTTCACATTGATGTTACTGAGTGCAGACTTGGCCTCTGTCTTTTTGAAATCCAACATTGATGACAAACCTTAGATCAAAAAAGGTAGAAGCTGGCAATTAACAGTTCTTGATTATTATATGGTAGATCTTGATTGTTGAGTGGAGTGTCGTATTCCTCCAAAGGCTTTGAGCTGCTTGCTAGATTTATTATTTTTTCTTAATTGGATGCTTCAGGAGGAGACTAAAGTTCATTAAAATATTTATAAAATAGTCTGGATTTTGTATATATATATGAAAAAGTAAATTATTTATTATAGAATCAATCAATGTCACTCATACAAAACTGTCAATGAACAAATGCTATTGAATTTTGCTTGAATAAGGTTAGCGGGATTTGGCTTGGTCTTGGAGATAAAAGTGAAGGATCTGGAAGTGGCATGAACAGATTATGGTTTGTAAAAAGAGATGATTACGACTGTAATTTTACTCTTTAATGATCAGTTTCTCAATTCAACATTCAGCTATAAAAATTTCATGGGAATAAATGATCCTGAAATCATAAGAGTCAACCAGACTTAACAAATGGGGCACTGATTATCTTATTAGTTCATAAATACCAGCCATTTTCATATAATTATTTGAATTTAACATCATATGTTTGAAGACTTTTATGCCCAGATCCAGTGAGAGTTAGGTACCTAAATACTTTGAGGAAGAGGGTACCTAGTTCATAAATCCTCATTTATTGAATTGTACAGGGTATATTACAGTTAATCTAATTTGACTAGCCTAAATCATGCTAACCTTGATTTCAGCAACACAGTTTGAAATCATATTTGAGATTATTAGTTAAAGATAATGTTCTATTTTTTTTCTCAGTTTCTCATCAATAAAGGTCTAATATGGATAGTGGGATATTTCTAAGTATACTGCACCTTTCACTTACATATTACTAGCTTACTTAGCATACTATTCTGATTGATTGATCAGGTAAATCCTGGATGACATACATATTGTTTGCTATTTTTTTCCTAATGGAAAATTATAGAATTATGCCATTTTGCTCTAACATTTTAGTGCATTTGAAACTGTTTTTTACATTGAATACTGTTTAAGAATGAGATTTGTTTTAATGGCAATTAATTGTTGAGTTTTTTGTAGAGCAGAGTAAGGACTAGAAAATATTTCAGTCTTAAAACGTAAAAGGAGAAATGTGCCATACTAATATGGGTGTTGTGATAGTCACTTGGAATATTGCTGAAGGGGACAAGAACTTCTTACATATTAAAGGTCTGAATTGCAAGACATTGAACACCTTCAACATTCACAGAATTCATCTGGAGTTGAGGGCATAATGTAGCTACTGACAGGTGGCAATAGTACCTTGCAAGATCACGCACAAAATCAAAGAAACTGGCCTGTTCTTGCATCGTGAATGGGAGTTTTACTTTTGCCTTCAGTGGAAGCAGGATCAAGTATGAATTACTTCAGAGGCCTAATCTGAATTCCTTTCCTTTCATAAGCAAGACTCTCATTGAAATCACTGAGAGTACTGGACATAGAGGCCCTGCTTCAGGAAATCATTGCTATTCAGGACAGAAATTAAGCTCGTGTTTAACTGCATTGATGTTAATAGGACATAAGCATGTGTTTAAATTAAACATGTATTTAATTTCTGTCTTGAATAGGAATGGACTTAAGTATGCCCTTACGTACTTTCCTAAATCAGCGCCTTAAAGATGACAGGATATGGCCCAGACTGTTTTAAATCCCTTGTACAACACCCTTTAAAATGTATTTTTGTCCTATGTATCTGTAAAGGTATTTGTGATATTGACTTATTTATTAATTCCTTTTCTTTCCCTGTATACCAAGTATATTCTGACATTTTTATCAGTACCTGTGAACATCAGTTATTATACATACTGTTAAGCAAACTTGTGCATTGTAACCCAGAATCTGATGCTAATAAGCTGTTGCATGTAGTTTAAATAAATAAATAAAACTTTATTTAAAAATGTAAATCAATACCTGCAGATGTGGATGATGATTATATATGGTTTTGCATGCCCAAACTCATTGTTCAGTTATAGGCATGAAGTGTAATGACTGTCTTACCTCTACTGAATATATTAGTAAAATACAATTTACGAAGTAATTAACAGAGGTCTATATGTAAAATTATTTTTCCTTTTTACTTAATTATATTGTAGTTCAGATATGACAGAACTGCTGATCTGTCACTGAAATTGTCTGTAGAAATTATGTTCCCATAACTGTCATTTAAAGTCAATATTTATTTATGTATGTAATACAGAAGGGTTGATTTGTGAGTATGTGTCTGTTATGTTATTTAGAACAAAAATGCTTCTTGTAAAAACATTTTGTAAAAAACAAATGTAATTGTAAATAGAGTCTGATACTCTGTTACTCAGTATTTTTATGTTTAGAATTTGTACATACTGTTTAAGTAATAAACTATCCCTCTACATGGAAATTTAGCTTTATTATTTCATGGGCTACCCCTCTTAGGATGCCACTTGATGTGCTGAGATAACACTGAGCCACCTGTTCTGCCAGCCTGAGTGCCTTTTAACACTGTCTTACTGAACCAGGTTCTTAAGCCTCCTTCAGCACACACATAGGCAGGGCCATACCCAATTGGAGAATGAGACAGACACTGAGATGAGGTCTGGGAAGGCACTCAGGTGCCCACCTTTTTTAGAGTGCAGACCCAAAGTTATATGAAATTTGCTTCCTCCCTCAATCTGGAAGAAGGCATACACAGCTTCTTAGCTCACCTCCCAGTTATGAATTGTGCAAATGGGGTTAAAATATAAAAACTAAATATGTTTATTAATTACAACAATGGATTTTATGTGGTTAAATAAGTTTCAAACAGAGCAAAGCAGATAACTAAGCAAATAGAATATAGCACACAGACTAAGCTTGATTCACTAAAGAAATTAGTCACACATTATAATTCTGTATGCTACATATTGTTAAAGGAAAATTACAGAAAGTCTTGAAAGGTAGCTGCACTGGCCTGCAGCTTAAAACATCAGGTATTATTACTCACAAGTAGGATGCCATTAAAGCTAGGGCCCAACTCTTCTTCCCCCAGTTCAATTATTGCTTCCAGGTGTTTCTTTGGGTGAGGCGACTGGGGAAAGAATCTTGATGTCACTCCCCTGCCTTATATAACTCTTGTGTAAGGCAAGAACCTTTTGCCTTCCAGTGGGAAAACACTGGCATTCCGGGAGGGAGGGGGGAATGTAGGAGTGCACAATACCAGATGACTAGGATCCCTGTCTCTGCAGGGCCCATGGCAAGCATGACACACTGGCTGACGGGAGTGTCCACAGGAAAACTAAGCTTTCACAATCCATTGTTTGGGCTAATGTGCCATCAGCCTTGGCTGGCTTTTTCTTTGTTGTACCTGTATGGCTAGCATGGATGATATTCAAGGATCAGCACATTTGAAATGCAGATTCATGGTCTGTATCAATATTCTTAGCTTCAGATACAGACATGATACAGGCATGCAAACTGGATCTCACTCAGTAAACCCAAACCTTTCCAATGATATCTTACTGGAGCCATCTTGCATAAGGTACATCTCAGGTATGTCATATCCACCTCATAAGCATATTTTCATAAAGAAAATGTCACAATTATCTCTTGCAGAAGAGCTTATGCTTTGGCTTCTATTATTTCCTAGCTCTATGTTCTCCTTCCATAAGCCAGTTTCAAATGGTGTATCTTTTCTGTGTCCATGTGTCTCATGTCAGGCTCTGGAGAATGTTAATGAGACAGCATCCTGTTTTAATTAAGTATTTCAAAGCTTGACAGTTCTCATCTCACAAGGCTTTCATCACATATGCAATCACTATTTATAACACCAATTTCTGCAGTATCGTGGTTTTTTAACTTTTGGAAGTAGTCTCAAAAATCTCACATTACATTGCGATTTCACATTGCGAGTCCTTTATATTCTGAAACATTTACTTTCTGGTTACTATCCTTCAGTAGAAAAATTAGACAGTGTTTCTGTTTAATATGAGATTGCATAGTGGCACTATTCATTCACCTTTGTTTTTTTACAAATGGAGCACGGGGAAGAAATTAATCTGTTGCCAATTATAAACCCAATGGCCCTAAAAATGTTCCATGTTTGAAATTTCTAATGAAATCAATTAGTACTCCATTATGAACTTCTGAGTTTGATCCCTGTTCCTATTTCCCCATTGTTAAAAATATATTATTTTAATTAAAGCAAATATCAGTGTCAACTTCAATATACATAGTATCATGCGCTTTCATGGGCACAGCCCACTTCTTCAGATGAAGAAGAAATGGGCTGTGCCCACAAAAGCTCATGATGCCATCTACATGTTTTGTTAAAGCGCTACCGGACTATTTGTTGTATTTAAGTTTATCCCGTACAGACTAACTTGGCTACTCCCTCTGAAGTTTTCAGTATACATGTTAGACCATTAAAAGTAAAGGCTTCTCTCTTTGAAATGCAAGACAGTAGGTGAACATTATTGAATAGGTATACAAAGACCTATTCTCTTGAGGTTCTCTCCAAGGCATGTCTACAGCAGAAAATTATTTCGAAATAATAATTCCCAAAATAATAATTTTGACATAGTGTGTCCACACTACGGGGAAGCCTCAAAATTAGTCTGAGGCAGGCTCCATTAATGTGGACACACCACCTTGACTTAGAAAGCACTGGGCAGTAACTAATTTGAATTAGTTTGAAGAGTAGCTATTTCAAAATAACGGCACTGGAGCATCCACACTATTTTATAATTATAGCTTTCAAAATTAATATTATTCCTTGTGTAAAGCAGGAGTTATTATTTTGAAATAACCAGCCTTGTTATTTTGAAATTACAGCCTTGTATGGACGCTCCACTTGATATTTCTAAATAAGGGGAGTTATTTCAAAATATCTCCCTAGTGTAGACCAGGGCCCAGTCTAAATATCCTGATGGCTAACATTTCTGAGTATTGTAGAATACACACTGTATCGACCATGGAGAATGTGCTGACGGCAACCTGCCCATGTGTTGTGACTCAAGCTATACATTCATTTTTATTTCCCTACCCACTAAAAAATGTTCAGCTCCACATGCACTTAGGTGAGGTGATGCTATTGTGTCCAGCTATGGGTATATCAATGATATTTGTCCATAAACGTGCTTGGATAATATGATGATGGGAGGGGACATTTAAGTACCTACTCAAAGGAGAAAGCTATAATCATTTATCGGGTTTTCTGCAGCTATCATACATGGAGTGCATAAAGGGTAACAAAATAGAATCCATTCAAGCCCCACAAAGCAGTACAGATAAAAGCTTCATTGCAGCCAAACTTCAAAGTACATTCATTGAATTGCACTACCTCATGAACCAAAATAATTTTTTAGTTCTCTTTTCTTCTTTTTTATAGGTGTTGTATTGTCATTACCTGGATAAATGCCAATCTCCCGGAGGAAAGCCTTGAGCTAAAATATTGGCCTTTATCCACTCACTGACATCACAACATTTGTAAAAGAAATAACACTATGAAGTGGAGTGAGGGTATGAGCTTTGAAGTGCAGGCAAAGTATAAAACAGTCAGATGACTTGATGCCAGTGTGACTCACTGTGTCCTGGTAGGACTTCCTCTGTTTGCTCTGTTTGCAACATCTGCCCTTGTGAGAAGATTTGAATAATGGCCATGCCATCAGCCTACAATAATAAATAATGTGGAGATGCAGCTTGAAACTTGATGGAAATATTTGCTTGTGACATATGTCTAGATCTGAGCAATTTATGGTTATAGGCTTGAAGATTTTTTCACCTATGATGATGACTTGTTCATGAAGGGGGAACATTAAATGGACAATTCTAGCTTTTATAGCAGCCACGTTTTTAATGAACTGATGCCTCAACAGGATATTCCTGTTGAATTAATTCTCTTCTCAGTTCTTCAAAGCCTACGACTTCTCCCAAGACATTTATTCCACCTCAAATGCAGATAAACTTTGGGAATACCTAACTATGATTCTCAACTACAACCAAAATAGCAATTTGTAATGAATCATATTTTTGATGGATTAAACTCTTTTACTTGCAAGTTGTCTGGGGAAAAAATAGGATTTTTCTCAAATGTATTGATTAAATGATTTGTCAGATAATTTCTACAAATGATTCTTGTTCTTTTGATGGCCTTGGCAAAGTAGTTCATTGCAAGTGGCCAATATCAGTGGCTAACTGAAAAATTGAGAATTTTTTTTAGACACATAGGATCAAGTTGTTGACTAATATTCAATGTCAAATCCCACAGAAGTCAACAGAGCTGTTCCCTTTTACAAGAGTAGTAAATATAGTGTATAGTTCATATAGTATGTTTGTTTACCTAAGGAGGGCGAGGTGTGTGATGGAGGCCTGAGTGGATATAAAGGACCAGTTAACCCGTAGCAAGCTACACTTGGGGAAGAATCAGGATTGATAAGTTTTAAGAGATAAAACCCAGCAGGAAAAGGTAGATTGAGATGCTATAGAATCAGGAAGTTATGCGTAAGAAGGAGGCTGCAGTGCAGAAGGCTGGCAGGGTTTAGTGAGAGAAAGGAGGAAATCAGGGGAAAATAGAAGCCCTTGGATCCAGGAGAATATACTCAGAAGTGGGAAGTCAAGTAGACAGAGGTAAAGTGTGAAGTAGTCCAGGGGGACAGTGACAGCAGCAAGGTTTTGGACAGTATGTAGGACACTGCTGGATGTAGGATCCCTGGGCAGGAACTTAGAGTCATGATGTGCCCAGGATACCCTACCAGCCACTGGGGAAGGGGCACAGAGTGGGAAGTGGATGGGAAAACTACCTGAGATAGTTGTCCAACAGAACTTTGATATCCTGATATAGGAGGGTATGTCTACACTAGTCTCCCTAGTTCAAACTAGGGTGGGTAATGTAGTCATTCAAACTTGCAAAGTCATACTCCTCATTGCAGGGGGCATAACGGTAGTCCGAATTAGGGGCTTTAGTTCGAACTACCTAGCCCGTGCCGCGTGTAGCCACAGGCAGGGAGTCTGAACTACTGGGCATTTAAAAATGGCGGCGTCCGGGAACATGCAAATAAAGCTGGGGATATTTTAATCCCGGGCTTCATTTGCAAGTTTGAATGCCTATATTAGCCACCTTAGTTCAAACTAGGGTGGCTAGTGTAGACATACCCGGAGACCTATAGTGACCTAGATAGGACTGAGCCATGAAGAGGAAGCACCTCAAAATGGGATGAGAAACGAAAGGAGGGGGGCATCAGACTGGTTGTGAGCATATCCCTGATGAACCACAAGGAAATACCCCAGCGGTGAGTAGCAAATCTTGTGACAGGGACAGGTTCCAATGTGAATAATGACTGATAGCAAGACTCTGCTCACAAACTTTCACAGTGAAGCTCAAAATTAGTTTTTCAAACATATTCTGCAACAGGGATGAGAAACGAA